AGAGAGAGAGAGAGAGAGAGAGAGAGAGAGAGAAAGGCAGAGTATGAGTGTGTTTATAACGTTTGATGACATATTCTTCTCTACCTGTATTTCCAATGTATGTTCCTCTTTCCATGAACCTACATTACCAGCAGCGACAACAACGTTGTACCTGTGCGATATACACACCTCAATAGATGACGCTCACAGGAGACAGATTGTGTCCATGGTCCGTTTTGTCTTGTCCCTTTCATCACCGTCAACATTCTGTTCTTGTTGGTGTTTTTGAAAACTTTATTTTGACTTCTTTCTCAACAAGATTGTTTCGTCACTAAAGTGATTGAGGTTTTTCTTCATCTCTATTTTTAGAGTTTTTTTGTTTAATTCCTCTCTTTTTGTGTGTGGAGGTTTTTTGTATGCTTCGATCGAGAGTTACTTTGTGCGGTTAGTTTACGATATGTTGACTTGTTGTTTTTCTGGAAATATCGATCAATTATAGAAGCAACAAGAATGTGGTTTCTTAGGAGATTGCTGAGAGTATCGTGGAAGGAAAAAAATCAAATGAGATAATGCTTGATGAGGCCCACGTGAGACTCTCAAAGTTAAAAACAATCAGGAAACGACAAGTGCAGTTTTTGGGACACCTGAATATACATAAAGTTCTTGAACATCTAGCTCTCACGGGCAAAATTGAAGGCAAACGAGGCAGGGGTAGGCCCAGAGCAACCTACTTGGGGAACCTAAACAAATTGGTAACGGGGAGAGATCAGGGAAACGTAGCTTTTTTAAGAGCATCCGTGCAAAGGAATGAATGGAGAACCATGATAGCCGATGTCTGTCGCAGATCTGGCACTGTATGAAAGAATCAATCAACTAATTAAGGTTTTTCTAGACATGTGAGATGAGTGGATTCGATGTCTGCGAGGTATCCTCGCTCAGTGTCAGCGTCTGTGGGCAGCAGGTTGATGCCTCGTTGTGGCACGCACAGGGCCTGACTGCGATGTCCATGTGGACATGAATTGTAAGGAGAACTGCTGGGACGTTGTATCCCTCTCAGCCCGGGTGAGTACTGACATTCAGGGTTGGAATCCGGTTTCTTATACGATCTAAAATGTGTCGATTTGGGGGAATGACAGGTTTGT